ATTATACATTACTCAAAAGAAAAAAAAAAAATGGAAACAATATAATGAACAAAACAGAAAATCCAGATTTCATGGGTGAATAAATGCTCGTGGTCACTTGATAATGTATAACTAGTGCATACTACGTGCAATACACGTGATACATATAATAAATGAATTATTTTTATAGGACTTGTACGTTTAGACAAAAAAAAAACAATAGACTTGGATCATCATATTTCACATCTTTTAATAAGTGGCATTTATTTAAGCCAAAATTAACATGTTAATTAATATATAATTCCGCTAACACGTCATACTAATATATTTATTTAATTTTAGAATACATATTATTCATTGATATAAGAAAAAATAAAAAATTTATTTATTCTTGTTCACCATATGATACTCAATTATTATTTTATTATAAAATTTATAGTCATATAATGTCATTATTATTATTTATAAAAGTTATAGAAGTAGTCTTCTTTATGTAATGAAATTCAAAATAAAATTTTGAGTATAAATGTTTACAAAATATACACACATGTTTTTTAGAATTCAATTTTCTCATGATAACTCTTTTTTAAAAAAAAAAAAATAATTTAGCAATTGCCAAAAAATAAATCCCTTACATAATCAAGAGAATTTTTTTCTAATTTTCATCCTAAGGCTTTATAGTTTATTTAACATACTATGCAATAGAAAAATATTTTACAATAAGTTTATTTTTGAAACATAACAAAAAAAAGTGATAAAAACACTATCTTAGTTGACAATAATATACAAATAAATAACATGTCGAAATTTTAAAGAATAACTAATATAATTTTATTATCTAACCATCAATAAAATCATTTAATGATGTGATCACTATATTTTAAATGATAAATAATATTATTTTATTTAAAATATATTAGTTTTATATAATTAAATAAATGTTAAAAATTATTACTCGACAAATATTAATTATAATGGATATCAATACAATCATTGCATAAATTATTTAAGGAAAAAATCTTTAAGATCATATCTTGATAGTAAATGTAAATAATTAAATATGCAAGCATTTAAAGCATATAGTAAAAAAATTTCAAATAAGGTGTGCATTAAATGTGTGTTGACTTTTCTTACTACTATTGTTAGTAAATAGGTTAGCTTTTAATAGATACTAGTATGTAACCCGTGCGATGCACGGACTGTATTTCTTTTGGTAAAATTTATAAATTGAAGGTTATTAATCAATAACGTATAATACGTAGAGCATTTGTCACTTGATCTAAAATATTGGTCATAAAAAAGTCATACATTGTTAAAAACCTCTTTGTACATAACATTATTGGTTTTTAATACAACCAACCCACAGCCTTGCTCCACCAAATTATTATATATAAAAAAGCAAATTAAAAAATATCAAAATTTATAACACTTTAATTTTTTAATACTACTACCACACAATCTTGCTCTACTAACTACATTATGAGAACTCATGGATAGCCTTTGCCTTTATAACGACTCTCAAAACTAATAGTATTGTCTCTATAATAGATAAAATAATAATTTCAAACAAATAAATTTTTCTTAAATGTATATAACAATTAAATACCTTTATGCAAATACTTACTCCAAATCGAGAAGAGTAAAGTCAATCATTTGGGTATGTTGTCGTGCAACTTGCTTGAATTGCACTTGTTGAATTTCTACTACCAACCCAGTGACATCTACATTCATAAGAAATAAAAAATATTTATTTAATCATTGTTAGATATGATAATGAATATATTCGAAAGTTATTCTTATCGAAAAGTGAAGACTTATCGACATTTTCCACATCACAAAATGTTGCAAAATTTTAAAAATCAAAACGGAAAATAGAGAAATAGGTTGGGTTGGCTATGATTTTTGTTTTTCTATGCAAAACTATTTTGTATTTGATAATTGCAGATCCATATTTACTAAGATTTCTTTCCACTTTGTAGTTGCAAATTGCATAAATATCTTCTTCCTCTAATTCTTTTTGGATTTTCAGAAGTTGCAACATAACTCTCTTTGTACTTTCAACATCTTTGATAAGAACGAAAGGTTGGTCCATTTTTTGTTTGGCACTTACTATGGATTTCTTAATTTTTTGTATGTTCATAAATGGTGATCAAGCACATTGGTTGGTCCATAATGTGCTCTTATTGCGTTTAAGATATCTGATCAAGCACATTGGTTGGTCCATAATCGTTTTGTTTTTCTACTAATAGTATGATAAATTGTTTTCCTAACAACTGACAATTGAATGACAGAGTGTGTTCGAGATTCTCGTAAACACTAATATATATATATATATATATATAATTTTTAGTTATTATATGAGATTTTGGAAATATAAGTTCACAACGTGTAGAATATCTCACTATATTACAATATTAATATTTATGGAATCTATATATTTGGGTTCATAAAAAATAAATCTATCTTATTATACCGAAAATTAAAAATCTTGTTACCATTTTTTTTTCAGTTTTTTATCTCTGTGATTGATATGGAGACAAAAATAGGAG